GTTCAGGCAATTCTCCTGCCTCAGCCTCCTGAGTAGCTGGGATTACAGGCATGCGCCACCATGCCCAGCTAATTTTTTGTATTTTTAGTAGAGACAGGGTTTCACCATGTTGACCAGGATAGTCTCGATCTTTTGACCTCGTGATCCACCCGCCTTGGCCTCCCAAAGCACCATTGCTTCTTACGTCCTATTTCTTTTGCAGGTCTTCATTTTTCTTCACTGGAGTGCATCTTCTATTATTTATTTACTTTAGAAAGTGCCTGTGGCACACACATTTACACAAAGTAAAATGTTTGGCTTCTTTCAAGCCTGAAAATGTCTTTACTTTGTCCTCACAATGAATGATAGCTTTAGAATAAGGAAAATATATAATTACATGTTCAAAGTGATTTCCACTGAGAACTTTGAAGCTATTGTTTGTCTCTTGAGGGGTCCCTGGCAATCTTGGCATTTGTGCATTTCTTCAGGTTGGAGAGAGTTTTCTGTATTATTTTTTAGAAAATTTCCTCCCTTCCATTTTCATTATTCTCTCTTTCTAGCCTCTTATTTGATGGTTATTGCAATCCTCCCACCTTGGCCTTCCAAAGTGTTATGATTATAGGCATGGGCCACCATGCTCGGCTTTTTTTTTTTTAATGAAGGAAATATTCTTTGGCACCTCTCTGAAGTTATTAATTATTCAAAATTCCTGTTCTGTTTCTCTGTTAAATCTGATTCCCCAGGTACATGTTTTATTGTTGTTGAATGAATTGGGTATCTTTCTTTCATAATGTCAGTATTTATAGAACGTGGTGGAAAGACCTTCTAATAACTCACACTCAGATTCTCAAGTCATCTCGTGGATTTGCCCAAGTGGCAACTGATGAAAGGTGTTCACTTTAGCTGTGTCTGGGAAGAAGAGTGCAGCTTCTGGTCCCAACACGCCTCTTCCCGTCCACTCTTCTCTTTTCTGTTCTTGGTACCTCTTCCCACTGCTTCAAAATAGTAACCCATTGAACCTTCCTTTACAGGTTGCTTTGTTCGGTGCCATTAGGGAGGGATTAGCCGGTGGGTTCTTGAGAGGCAAAGCTAGGCTGAAGTATCATACCTGGTGGCAGGGGGCAGGGAAGCAGAGAGAAAGAAGAAGAAAGCCAGGAAATGTAGAAATCCCTTGACTGTGCCAAGGGTTGAGCCAAGAAAATATGATAAATCAGCCAAACCAAGGTGCAGATGTGGCTGAAAAGGGAAGACCCAGCCTTGGTGGAGAAGCAGCATGGACACAAGTGAGCGTGGTGGGTTGTAGAGCCAGTCTGTCCCAGGTGGTTCCCATGGAGGGTGTTGAATGCTCACAGCTGACCTTGCTCAGCCACTGGGAGACTATGGACACACTGGGTTGGCCTGAAAGTCTTGGTAGGATGGGCAACAACTTCCAGCTCTAGCCCTACTCCTGCAGGCTGAGTCTTAGAACCTCACTTGCTGGACTCCCAAGTCTTCCTTGTTCTGCTTTTCATAAGAAAAGCCTTGTGTCTTTTGCCTCCCTGTGACTTGGATAAGTGCAGGATAATCCAGGATTCACAGACTTTGTAAATGAAGAAAACTCCAGATCTTCCTCCAAGCCCAGCTTTGATATCTTTGCGGCTTGGAATTTCAGTCCTGTGTGTGACATAAACATCTTGTCTGCCAGACCTAAGAAATTCACCCACACTCCCTGGCTGCTGAGTTTTCTTTCCTGAGCCTATAGATGTCCTTTGTCATAACCTGACAAAAGAGACGCTCTGAGCCTGTCTGTTAGGTTTTCCAGTCTATGGGCTTGCTGCCCGTTACTGTCATCTGTCAATTCATGAAGCAGTCGTATGCATCTATCCTGTGGGCCGATTTTATTTAGACACTAATTCTTGTATTTGTTAAAAAAGAAAGAAGGCAAAGGCAGGAAGCAGCATACTCAGATCTCTCGGAAAATTCTCAGCTGCTCCACACGTCACAGTTGAAGGATGAGAAGCACAAATAACGCTGCGAGATAAATAAATGTATAATTGAAAGCACATGGAGTGGAATCATCAAGTTCCTCATCTCCCAGTGACTCCCAGTTTCTGATCTGTCTCCAGATACCAGAAATTGTAGAAATCAGCTGCATCTCCAATAACTACTACTCCGCATCTTTTGCCAGCAGACAATACCTCTGCCGTGGAGGAATAAAATACGTTCTTGTAGGTGAAGTGGTTTCTGCAAGTGAATAGGAACCAAATCTAAGAGGCCAACCTCCTGGCTCCAATTTTATGGGGCCATTGTGGAGTTCCTGGGAGAAGGGAAGGAGCTGTGGTCTGCTGAGGGGCCCCATGCTGTCCCCTTCCCTCCTGCAAGCATCCTTCTCTTCACTCTCCAGCCGTCTCTCACTTCATCCCATCTCCCTCCAGTGTCTCTCCCCACTTCCAGTTCTGCATCCCTCCTGACCACTCACTAACATGAGGGCTCCCCCAGGTCCCAGCTTCCCCGGGTCTCAGTTTCCTTGTCTGTAAAATGGGGATAATTAAGGTAGAGACTCTACAGAGAATCAGAGGCAGCTGTGAAGCTTCAATGCGTTCCAGCTGCAAAGCGCTTAGTGTTGTTAGTTTCTATGGTTCCCATTTAGGAAGATGCCTTCGCAGCCTCTCTCACTTCAGGAGCCTCAGGCTGCCTTCGGCCAGCATGGTGGATCTCAGTCGTGCCCCCAGGACACTGGTGAAGAGCAGCGTTGGCTTCGCTTCTCCCTCTTCATCCCTGCATCCACAACAGGCATTTCTGCCCGGCTTTGGAGTTCACAGTGTGTGTTCTTATTCATTCCCTGGGAATCTGTGTCATCCTCTTCATTTTAAGAGGAAATCAAGACCTGGAGGTGGAGGCACCAGGCTGGAACACAGCTCCCCTGGGAGCCGCTCTGGGCAGGGCTGCCCCGCCCTGGCGGTGCTGGGTCCCGGTGGGTGGCCGACAGCGGGAAGTACCTCCCACGTCCCCGTCGCCCGCGCGGGGACTGCCACTGCCCACCAGTGGGCAGCCCAGGCCAGACCCTCTGAAAGACCTCGCATTGTCTGTTTCCCAAGAAGCCGCAGTGCCACCTCGCGGCCGCCTTCAGAAGTGCATGCTGCGACCTGGCGAGAAGCCCCGCGGGGAGGTACCTCCGTCCAGCCCAACGGGCTGCCTGCCTGGCCGGCGAGGAAGAGCGCGTCCCTGCCGGGCCCACGCTGCTGAAAGTGGAAACGGGTTCTGCAGGATGCTTCGGCGTGCACCGAATTCGCTCAAGAATCCTCTACTTGCCAGGCTCTGTGCCCTGGGATGGGGGCGCAGAGAGAGGAACGTGGGGTCGTGGAGAGGAGTGCCCCTGGCCTTAGCTCTAAGAGGTGGAGGAATCGGAGAGGCAGAGGCCAACCAGAGGACCTCCGCCTGAGGCCAGCTGTCCTGAGTGCTGGGATCCGAGCAAAGGGCCGAGCGCAGCCGCGTACACAGAGGGGCCCATCTCCTGCCCCAGGGTTTCCTTTTGTCTGCCTGCTTGTTCCGATTGACAGGCATCTTGCATCTTGGGCGTGCAACTTCCCGGCCGCGCAAGTTGTTCAAGAAACCCAGAGGCAGGTGTTTCCCGGGGGCTCTAAGCCGACAGCTCTTAGAGTGAGACGTTGTTGTGAGCAACGTCTAGCTGCTCACAGGGCCCGAGTCTCCGCCCCACCCTGTGTAAGAACCCGAGGCCGCATGGCTGCTCAGGCCACCCCCAGCCAGACTCAGCCCTATTCTTACAGAGAGGTACCCTCTGGGGCCCGCCACCCTTCCCTCCGAGGACTTCTCTGAAAGCCTCTGGCTCCAATAAAAGAAGGCAGCAGGGTCCCAAACCCCTTTTTCCTGGCAGACTCTTGGCCCTTGGATGAATTTGCTGCCCCCTTCTCCCTGGAGTTGTATATTAAGGACTCTATGGAAGGGCAGGCATTTCCAAGTCAGAGAAAGCGAGGGTCCATCTGCACCCTTTCTCAGAACAAGCAGTGCCAGCCTGCCTTGCATTTATACAACTTAAGGAGATTCCAGAGATAATAAGGCAAGTCTGTTCCAAGGTGACTTAAGGTTTCCATTTGCAGACGAGGGAGCAGCTGGTATAATTCTAAGTTTCCGCCTGACAGGCACTTCCATTACCCTCAGAACCCCCATGCTTGGTTTCTGGAAAGATCAACTTCAGCAAGGAAGCGGGGCACGGGTGGGGGGCTGACTCTTCTTTCCCTTGACAGCCTCAGTCGGAGCCCTCGGCTGCCACCATGTGCCGCACAGGGAGAGTCTCCAGCGATGGACTGAATTCCAGTCTGATGGCCACACTAGGACCATGCAGAGACTTCCTTATGTGTGGAATATGGGGAAATGAACACAGCAATGTCTGCACTACACAGAAGTCTAGATTTCTCACCTAGGAAATGGTCCATTTCTGCCCGGGTCACAGAGGAAAAAAGATCTGGCTGGGTGCAGTGGCTCAGGCTTGCAATTCCAGTGGTTTGGGAGGCTGAGATAGAAGGATGGCTTGAGGCCAGGGGTTCTAGACCAGCCTAGGCAACATACTGAGACCTCATGTCTAGAAAAAAAAGAAAATCAGGCAGGTGCAGTGGCATGTACCTGTAGTTCCTACAGGAACTACATGGAAGGCTGAGGTGGGAGGATTGCTTCGGCCCAGGAGTTTGAGGCAGCAAAGACCTATGAGAGTGTGTGTGTATGTGTGTGTGTGTGTTTGTATGTGTGTGTGTGTGTATATATATATATATATATATATGAATATATATATATATATAAAATTTAAGCATCTTACATTGCATTTTTCTGTTACTTGCAATATTAATAGTAATATTTGAAAAATACGTATATGCATTTATTTGTATACACACGTGTGCACATATATCTATGTCTATATGTATAATAAAATTTCCCACAGTATGGGACAATAAGATAAAAAGGTTTTAAAAAATGAGAGGAAAAATAAGAAACCATGAAAATCAATCCATGTAGCTTCCTAGCTACACAGAAGGCTGAGGTGGTAAGATGGCTTGAGCCCAGGAGTTTGAGGCAGCTATGAACTATGATTGCATCACTGCACTCCAGCCTGGACAACAGAGTAAGATTCTATCTTGAACAAAAAGAAAGGAAAGGAAAGAAAAGAGATCCTACGTGGGAAGAGAAGTAACTTTTTGCTAACTTTAAAAAATCCTTATTTTCTAACCCCACAGTAGGTTGGTTCCAAAAGTAGCTGTGGTTTTGCAGCCCTCCTTGCGTCTGTGTTCTCAGCTTGTGACTGTGTGGTAACTCCCATAAAGATGCAGAATGTATTTCTCACCCCTTGGATCTAAGCTGGCCTGTGACTAATTGGTTCACAGAATGTAGCAGAAAATAGACAATTCATTGAAAGATAAGTTATACTTGTGATGGCAATGACAGCCCATCTGGAGTGGCCACTTTGAGGATGCTGGCTGCAGCAGGGAAGGTATGGCTGGGGCTGTGTGCTGTGCAGAGCCAGTGGGAGGCAGGCAAGAGCCCTGCCCCCTACCTAGTTGGCAGGGCAGGAGCCTGTGCTCCCCGGTGCAGCTGCAACAGCCCAGCAGTGGCTCCCGTCCCCAGTATCCCTGTGTTCTTGGGGCCCCAGGAGGCCTCCTGCCCTGGCAGGCTTGAAAGTACCTGTTCCCACTCCCTGGCCTCTCCCCACTCCTGGTGCCCGCTCCAGGGTGGAGCAAAGTTGTGGCCCAGTCAGATGTCACAACTTGGTCAGATGTGCACGTGCTAACGGCAGCACTGACATATCAACCCCCAGACACCTTGGTCCCCTCCAGACTTTGGGCACCAACAAGCATAGGAGGGGGGCTGAGGGGGACTTGGCACAGACTGTGGGCACCTCTTGCTGCAGACAGCCTGGGTGCCATGAACAGTATGTTAGTGGAAGACAAATTCCTGGGCAGGAAGGGGTGGATCCCCAGGGAAACCCCACCTTCAAGCCAAGGATGGCCTGATGCCTGCGAGCCAGGCTGCCAGATCTGGGTGAAGTCCGGCCCAGAGTGAGAAATTATGGTGCTTTTTCCAGGCCTGCCTGTGGCCACCTATGGACCAATCAGCATGCACTTCCTCCCTTCTGATCCCATAAAAATCCCAGCCTCAGCCAGCCTCAGAGACTCAGACCTGCCTGTGGAAAGGAGCTATCTACTGTGGGTCTCCTCTCTACTGAGAGCTGGACACTCACTGGGACAGCCTGCCTGCAGGAAGGAGCTGCCCACTTCGGGCTTCCTGAAAGCTGTTCTGTCACTCATAAAGCTCCTCTCTGCCTAGCTCACTCTCCGGTTGTCCATGTACCTCATTCTTCCTGGACACAGGACAAGATCTTGGGAACCACTGAATGGCAGGACTGAAAGATTTATAACACAAATAGGGCTGAAACACATGCTCCTACTCACCACATTGTGGGCAATAAGAAGGAGAGAAGAGCTGCTGCCCTTTGGGGAGCCCAGGTGTAAGGGCTCCCTAAGCCAGGCCTGTGATAATCTCTTTGGGGCTCTGCAGTTTCAGGCATCTCCAAACTTCTGAGTACCACAGAGTTCCCCTTGTACAGATTCAGGTTCCTGCAAAAGAAGCCACTTGCAGTAATCTGAACCAGCCACAGCCTTGCACAGAGCTGGTGCCTGGAGCTGTATGCCCCACCACAGCAGCCAGTGTGTCACAACCCAGCTGTATGCAGTGGCCAGACCCCACATGTGCTCACTCACGTGCCCCTCACCACTCCAAGCCTGGCTCACTCTTGGCAGGTGTGGGATCTGGGCTGGTGGTGTGAGCTGAGTGCAGCCTGCTGGGCTGAGGGTGTGGAATGAGTCCAGTAGGCTGAGCAAAACTTAGGCAAAGGTGTGGACAGCCACAAAGTTTTCCAGCTGGAAAAGGCTGCTGTGACGCTTTGAGGGGGCTCATCTGGGAAGGGTGAGTAAAAGCAGACTTTCTGCTTTTTGTCCTTTTATCAGAGTCCCTAAATTCCACAATATCCAAAATGAAAGAAAAACATGGAGCCTCTGTTGGCCAGTTAAAAGCAATTAGCATGGCTACCAGACTTAAGACGCAGTGGACCGGCTTGCTGGGGAGGACACTTCAATCTCCTGTCACCCTCGGATGTTGGCAATGTTCCAATTCAATTTCCCTTCACAGAGGTCTAGCCATTGCGTGGGATTGGAAGGAGGTCCTGGGGCAACGGAGCGTATCCAGCTGAGGCCACATCTCCATCCTATCCAAAGGCTCCTGGATTAAGTCCAGTTCCTAACTGCCCATTAGGGTGTGGGCACTAGGACCCCCAGTCTTACCTATCACACTTTCTTTCTTTCACAACTGCCCCAGCTGCCAGCCTGTTCTTTATATACAATGTTAAATGTGCTGCTGCAAACCACAGACAAAAATATTACAGGGTAGAATGAGCATTTGGCTTAGTCATCAGGAATGTAAATCTGAAGAAAGTTGTATCTGCCTATTCTTAGAAGCAAGGAAGATCTAACTGTTGAGAGTTTTCTTCCCCCTGTTGAGAGAACCCACATGCACAGGGCAAAAGGCTTTTTCCCCAGGCACCCTCCCCTCCTCTGCATTTATGTTGTTGTTTTTTTTTTCTCTTTCCTCCACCAAGTCAGGAGTCAATAAAGTCCTGCAAATACAGGGAGCATTTCTATTTATTTTTTCCTCTTGGGAGGCACCTTGTTAGGCCAAGTCCCTAGTTCCCAGAATTCCCTTTATCTCCCTTGTTTGAGGAGGACCTGGTCCCACAGCTTCACCTGTTTATGGTAGGGAAGCAACAGAGAGGCTGCTCTGCCAGTTGCTGGCTGCAATTTGGTGAGAGCCACCTGGGACTAATTTAATGGATCCATATACCCTCCTGAGACACCTTTTTGTCCCAAGCTTTGGTTTGAGGCCCTAGAAAGGAAAACTAGCTCTAAGGGACCCAGAGGCAGATGACAGCAAAAGTCTAGGGGCAGAGTGCAGGTGAGCATGACTAATTCCTGCCAATTAGGGCCTCCCACTTAACAAGTGAAGGTCATGGCATAGATGAGGTCTAGGGAACTGAGAGGCTACTGACAGTGGGAGGCTTAGGCAGCACGTAGGTGAGTGCATCCTGAATCACTGGGACCCTTTGACCATCAGACTCTGGAGAGAGAGAAAAAATGCTTTTTTCCTCCTCTGTCTCCTTTTTCAGATGGTAACCAGTCATCTTCAGCCTACACTCCTCTAGAGCGCATCCTGAATCAGTGGGACTCCTTTCATCTTGAGACTCTGTAGAAAAAGTGCCTCACATTCCTTTGCACAAAGGTGTGGCTATGTTCTCCAGGAAGGAGAAGCATGGCCTCAGGAAGGACACATTAATTTCAGTAACATTCTGCAACTGTACCTTTTCTGTAAATGTGAGGGCAAATGTCCAAAGCCCCTTATGTGTAGGCTTCCTTTGACTTGTAGGGTAATCTAGACCTTTGCCAACATTGCAGCTGGGCCCTGCCCTAGAGTCTTCCTGCAGCAGGGCTCTCTCCAGAGGGGCTGTGAATGTTTCCCCAGGGTGGGGCTAAGCCAGAGCCCAGAGGTTTGCCCCTTGGAGCACGGATCCTCCAGGTCACTCGCCCCCACCTCGGGCTGCAGTGAAGGATGCTCTGAGGGGAGGATGGCCAGCTCCTCCCCTGCAAGGATAGGAGCCCAGGGAAGGCATTCCTGCTCTGGAGACTGCCTCCCTCCCCCACATCAGAGCTAGCCCTCTCAGAAGCCAGGCCAAGCTGACCACTCCATCTTTGATCTCTGCCAGGGAGTCCAGAGTCCCAGTAGAAGACTGTCTAAAATAATATAAATAAAAATAGAAGGATAAAGGGGACATTTTTCTTGTTTTGTTTCCTTTCTTTTTCAGTTCTTGCAAACTCTGAGTTCTGCTCAGGCTAATAGAAAAGTCATCTTTATGCTGCCTGAAGTAATTGTCTCATGTTCCCTTTTCCTTCTTAGAGATCTTCTAGACAGCATCAACTAGATCGCAGCCACCAGGCCCCTGCTCACTTCAACAGCATTCATTTCTCATCACCTCTGCTCATTTTTGGATCCTCCAGCATTTCCCCCAAATGCATAAGCCTTCCCCTTGCTTCTGTGGTTCAGCTGGGCCGCCTCCCTCTGATACCCTCTTCCAGTGCTTATCATCTGGGCCAACGGTTCTTCAGTTCCGGCTCTAGTATTATTCCTCTCTATAGAACTACTTGCCAATTTGCATTCCTTATTTTTGACATCTCTCCTCGAAGGGCTCTGATCTCCTGAAGATACGTGCTATCTTTCCTGTGCTTATTCTCTAACACTTAGCACAGATTGAGGTGTTAAGGAAGTGCTTGTGGAGTCAAGACATGAAATAGGCTACGTGGGCCAGGGAAAGAGGAGTGGCAGGAGGCAGTCCCTGAACATCATGATCTGCACTCCACTTCCTGGATTTGCAGCTCCCTGGATGAGCAGAGTAGGAAGAAGAGGAATTTGAGATCTCAGCCTGTCACATGAAGACAAGAGGAGAAGCAAATTACAGTAATATATGTTCTGGTAAGTTGTGAATCACTCGTTCATTCATTCAGTAAAACTATATTGCGTGCCTCCTATTAGCCAGGCACTGTGGTAAGCTCTGGGGCTACAGCTGTGGCCCAGAGTGATGAGGCCCTTTTCTCAGGGAACTCATGTTCCAGTTGAGGTGATGGAGGCAGGGGTAGGGCAGGCAACAAGCAAGGAAACCAGAAATTATAAGAGGTTGTTGAAAATAGTACATGTGTCATGAATGGACTAGAACATGTGTGAAATGATGGAAATTAGGGGCTACTTCATTTTGGGTACACAGCACAAGGTACTTTAAGGAGGTAACGTTTAAGCCAATAGTTGGCAACAAAGAGCCAGACTTGCTGGAGCAGGTGTTAGTCCATTGGGATTGTTATAACAAAGTGCCATAGATGGGGTGTCTTATGAACAACAGAATTTTATCTCTCAGAGTTCTGGATGCTGGAAGTCTGAGATCAGGGTGTCAGCATGTTGCTTCTGATGAGGGTCCGCTTGCCAATTTCAGCTGAAGGTCTTACTGTGTTCTCACATGGTGGAGAGTGAGCTAGCTCTCTGGCCTCTTCTTAGTGATACTAATTACTGGTACTATTCCCACTCTCAAAGACCCACCCTCATGACCTATTTACCTCCTAAAAGTCTTAACTTTCAAATACCATTACATTAGGATGACAGTTTCAACATATGAAATCTGGGTGATACAAACATTCAGTCCATTGTAGGAGACAGCATCCTAGACCGATAAAGCTAAAGATGTAAAGACCCTAAGTCAGGAATGGTTTTGATGCATCTGAGGCACAGGGAGAAAGCCCGCGTAGCTGAAGCAGAGTGAACCCGAGGGACACTTTGTTAGGGGATGACAGCCTAGAGATAGGCAGGAACTGGCTTACACCTGCTGGTCCTGTGCTTGGGTGTCTCTCTTTCTTGGGGTTTTACTCACCCACTGTGGTGAAGGGGGCTGTAAGTCACTGCAGGCAAGTTCAGCTCCGAGTTCTCCCACCCACCCACCAAAATGGACAGAGGATTTCTGTTCTTGAGGTTTCAGGGTCTCTTTGTTAGAGGCGGCTCCGGAATTCTATGTTAGAAGGGAACTGATGAGTAGCAACCTAGGAAACTCATCTTAAAGGTGCATTGCAATAGCAAACGCAATATATTTATTTAGTTTGTGTGATCTAAACTTTTTTAAAAATATCAATCTTTCATATTCACACTTCCCATAAAAAATGAAGAATGTATATTTTAAGGTGGTTTAAAGGGGCTGTTGGGGATTATTAGGAGTAAACGACATTGCACAGAGGCCATCTCCGAGCGGCATCACCAAGACTGTGTGATGTCTGGACGCGCGCACAACCTGGAGATAAAGAGGCTCGCGCTTGGTAAGCGCCCTTTTGCGAAGGGCAGGTGACAGGACACCTACACGGTGGGCGGCCGGACAGCCCAGTTCGCATGCGCGGGGCGGTGCCGGGGCGGGGTCGGAGTTGGGGGCGGGGGCGGGGGCGGGGCGAGCAGCGGCCTCGCGGATTCGTGCGGGTGTGGATCGTGGGCAGCAAGAGCAGCGTTCGCCACACCTCAGCCCCGGTCCCGGCACCGCCGCCTTCTGCGTTTCGGTTTGTGAGCGGGCCCGGCCCGGCCGGGAGCGAGAGCGAAACCCTGGAGCAGTCGCCACGGCCGCCGCCTCAGGCGCCGAAGTCGTCAAAGTCGCCGAAGTCGCCGGGTCCGGGAAAGGCAGGCGATGCCCCCAACCGCCGACCGGGCCACGTCCGCGGCGCGCGCGTGGCGTCGCCGCCTGAGCGCCGCGCTCGCCTGGCGTCCCCCGGGCCCAGCAGCTCTTCCGAGGCCCGCGAGGAGCTGCGCCGCCGCCTTCTGGGCCTCATCGAGCGCGGCGGGGTGGTGATCTTCAGCAAGAGCTACTGTCCCCACAGCACGCGGGTAGGCGCGTCCCGACCCGCCAAACGGACGCCACCCTGGGCAGGGAGGGTCCGGGCCGGGGCGCCCGCGGGTCTCGGGCTGGGGCGATGGTGTCGGTCGCCCGTCCTTTCCTCTCCCCGGGCTTCCACTGAGGTGGGCTTGTGAGAGTTTATCGAAATAGAAACACTCCTAATTGCGTGACCTAGACCCGGGTTAGGACCCTATGCCGAGCCTCGGTTCCGCCGTCTTGTGAAACGAAGGTACGGGAAGATCGTGAGGATGACTGAGCTTATTTCAGCTTCATTATTGCACACTACCTTAACTTTTTGGGGCGGGCTAGGAATCCGGCATTATTTCTAAGGACAGATGTATTCTGAATTTAAAAATACTTCACTTAGAAACGAGCCTTTGGGTGACAACCTACGTGTAAGGTAGGGACCTTTAACCTTTAAGAATTTACTTCATTTTATAGAAAGTTTAAATAATGATATGTGGAAGACCGTATGCGAAAGCATAAACTATTGGGTTGAGTTCATGAAATTATAGGCTGTTTTTCAAATATATTTGAAGTTTATGTGTATAGTTTCTTAAAACATGTATATTACGCAAATACATTTTTAAGAAAAAGTGACACTAATTACTGTAGAAGCTTCCTTGGCTGTCTTCTCTCTCCCTCAGGATTAACCATTATGCAAATTTTCTCTCTTTTTTTTACATTTTAACCAAATACATATACATTATTAATCAACATTTGGTTCATTTTAGCCTGTTTTGGGACTTGATATAAATAGAACCATACATACATATGTATTCTTCTGCAGTTTTCTTCCTCAACAGTTATGTTTCAGAGATTCATGCATTTTAGTATCTGTAGCTGGGATTCATTAATTTTCATTGCTGACTATTCCCTGTAATGAATCATATCATAGTTTATCATTCTGCTGTTTCTAGTGTTTTGCTCTGAAAAAACAGTACAGCTATATGCTTATTCTTGCACATAACTCCCAGTGCACTTATAAAAGACTTACTCTAGGATCGATATCTTGAAGCTGAGTTACTGGGTCATAAAGGATGCGTGATTTCTATCTTAGCAAGGTAATGTTCGACTGATTTTCCAAGTGGTTATACCAATTTACTCTCCTCCTAGTTTATAACAGTTCATCTTGCTCTACATCCTTGCTAACAGTTGATATTTTTAATTTTTGCCATTCTGGCAATTTTGAAATGGTATCCCATTATGGTTTAATTTTGCATTTCCCAGATGAAGTCCAGTATGTTCGTGGGTCGTTTGAGGTTCCTTTTCTATGAAATTATATAGTGTGCTTTTCGCTTTTTTCAGGCCTTTTGACTATTTTCCTATGTTGTGGTTTTTAGTTGTTTGTCCTGGCTTGTAGGTGTTCTTTATATATTTAGGATGCTTATCCTTTGGTTATATATACAGTAAGTGCTCACTCAACATTGTTAAGAGGTTCTTAGAAACCAACCTTAAGCCAAATGACATGTAATAAAATCAGTTTTATTGTAGGCTAATTGATAGAAATAAGAGTTAAGTTTCTATGGCATATTTCTGGTCACACACAAAAAAATTACCAAACTTTTAAATAAAGACCCAAAACACGTCTAATATTAAACATTGAAATAAATGTGAGCTATGCATACATTTAAGAGAGAGTAATAACAGCGGGGAAGAAAATTATTTACCCAATTTCTGGTGAATCAGGAGAGGTAGGTTTCTGACGGTCGTAGGTGAAATCAAGAGTATTTGCAAAGCAGAATGTTAAGGGCCACCTCATGCAACTGGGCAGTTCAAAAACAAAATTGCAAATATGGAGCGTGCACTGTTGAATGTTTTCCCACTACATTCGTTATTGTTTGCCTCTGTATGATTATTGTCTACTTTATGAAGTTTTGTTTGGCAATAATTCGTATTGGCTTATTCATTCCTTTTCCAACCCACTTACTCCATTTCAGGATTGCCACTGGCCAGAGCCTACCTTGACAGCTTAGGGTTCTAGGTGGGAGCCAAACCTGGCTAGGACACCATCCCGTTGCAGGTGCACTCACACACACACCCCCATACTCTCTGCAGCTGGGAAAATGTAGAGACACCAATTTGCCTAACGTGCACATCTTTAGGATATGGGAGGAAACTGGAGTACCTGGAGAAAACATGAAAAGAATGTGCAAACTCTACTTGACAGTGGCCCTGGCTGGGAATAGTTTTTTTAATCATTGTTGTAGTAGAATAATGTTACTTGAGGACCTGGCTGCTGTAGAAAATCTGTCAAATTTAGCTTCCTTTTTCCCTCTTTTTGTGGAATTGATACGGTTTGGATCTGGGTCCGCATCCAAATCTCATCCCCAGTGTAATCCCCAATGCTGGAGGTGAGGCCTGGTAGGAGGTGATTGGATCATGGGAGTGGATTTCTCATGAATGGTTTAGTATCATCCTATTGGTACTGTCCTCATGATAGTGAGTTCTTGTGAGATCTCATCATTTAAAAGTGTATAGCATCTCCCTACCTCACTCTGTTGCTCCTGCTCTTGCCATGTGAATTATTGGCTCCCCTTTGCGTTTTGCCATCATTGTAAATTTTCTGAGGCCTCCCAGAAGCCAAGGAGATGCCAGCATCCTGCTTCCTGTAGAGTCCACAGAATCGTAAGCCAATTCAGCCTCTTTTCTTTATACATTACCCAGTCTGATATTTCTTTATGACAATAGAAGAACAGACTAATGCAAGGATCTTTTGGTTAACTGAAGTTGGTAAGTTTAATGTATTTGCTTCTATCATTCTTTTCCTTTTATGGTTGCTTTTGGTTTCTTATTTAGGAAATCTGTTTCAATTCAGAGGTCATAAATATATTCTCCTGTTTTAGCTCCTAAAAATGGAATAGTGTACTTTTCATACCCACCTTCTTGAAGTATACCTGGAATTGATATTGGTAATATGAGTGGGGATCCGGTTTGTTTTCTTCTTTGTGACTTATCAGGTGTTCCTGTTTCAATTATTGAAGACTCCATTCTTTCCACACTAGTTTGTATGCTCACTCATCATTAATCAGGTTCTCATGTGTGTGTTGGTCTATTTCTGGGGTCTGTTTTCTATCTATATTTTTTAAGAGTTGTCCTTTGTAGTTTGCAGAAACAAAAAAGAGATCAGATCTGTGTCTGTCTACTGCTGTGTTACTAGGGAATAGACAATAGTGCCAGGCACATAATATGTGTCGAATGATCTTAAATCATTTTAGTCAAATCTTTGCTGATACAGAACATGTTAGGATAAATGATCCTCTATCCTGTGTGTATCAGCATTTTCAGTAATGTGGCCATGACTTTGAGTCTCATTACGTATTTGGACAGCCCTAATTATTGGAATGTTTTTAAGTGAAGCAAAATCTGCCTACCTGAAATGTTTCTTCATTCTTGGAGGTGAGCATTACTCCAGTGGGCAGAATTAAGAACCTTGCTTCTGCTTGGAGGGCAGATCTGCCAGTACTTTCACTAAGTGTTTTTCTTGCTTGGCCGAGCAATCTGCTTTCTTACATGTCTGTCTTTATGTGTGGCCACTCACTAACTTGATTGTACAGTTTTTTTTTTTTTTTTTTAGCCCGTGATCTTCTTAAATGTATCCCCCAAAAGTAGACACCATATTCCACATGTCCTTATCCTTGCAGAGTAAAGGAGAGAGATCTGTTTCTTGATTGGGCTGCTAATGGCATTCAACAAGTATTATTGGGTGCTTAGTGTTGCAGAGACACAAAAATGAATAAACCTTTGTTTTTCCTCCCACAAACTCATAGTCTAATTGAGCTGTAGTCAACCAGCTCACATGTGTAGAGAAAAGTGCATAAGAAAAATAAGAGTTGTGGGAATAAGAGGTAAAACAGTGGCTTCTGTGGAGGATCAGAACAGTCTAAGAAAATGACTGGTCTTTGAGGGGTAAGTTAGAGTCTGTAGGTAAGAAAGAGTATCTAATTAGGAAATTAGTATCAGCAAAGATAGATTATGATAAAAGGAAAATAGTATGGGTGAGCACAAGGTATATGAAAGAAATCAGGAGGATTCATTGGAAAATGGCTGGAAGTTTAGTTTCAAAGGTGATTTAAGGAGGTCTTTTTTTTGAGATGGGGTCTTGCTCTGTTGCCCAGGCTGGAGTACAGCAGCTTGATCTTGGCTCACTGCAACTTCTGCCTCCTGGCCTCAAGTGATCCATCCACATAAGCCTTCCAAATGACTACGGGCTCATGCCACCACACTTGGCTAATTTTTGTATTTTTTATAGAGACAGTGTTTCACCATGTTGCCCAGGCTGGTCTTGAACTCCTGCGCTCAAGTGATCTGCCTGCCTGACCTCCCAAAGAGCTGGGATTACAGGCATGAGCCACTACGCCTGGCCAAGGAGGTCTTAAAATGCTTGTGAATGAGTGTGGACTTGATGTGGCAAAGAAAAGTCATCTCATAGTTGTGAGCAGGGTGATTTGAAATTTTTCCGTGTTCCCTGCTCACACTTCCATTCCGGAAATGGAACCTCTGGATCTTACCTTGAGGGCTGAGGGCACTGAAGGCTTTTAAGTAATGTGGTGAAAAGTGCTTTTAAATGACCACTTTGGATGTAATTTTCAGAAGTGGGGAGGACAAAGCTGGTACAGAAATAATTTGTAGGATATTATTGAGAATTTCCAGTAGTCAGTGTTGATGGCTCAGGTTAATATAGCAACTATGGAGAACTAGATAGATGAACCAGTTCAAGAGAGAATTGTGAAAACTTTGTAATGACAGTGGATGGCTGGGGAGTTCACGTGGGATAGGAAGATGTTGCATGAGAGGGAGGCATGAAAATGATTCCCAGTTAGAGCTTTGCAGTTGCTAAGGTGCAGATTCTGCTGCAGGTCCTGATTTTGTATGTCTGGTAAGCTCCTGGCCTTTGTGTTCCTCTTTCCTCTGTTTGAGTAAGTAGCAAGGCTGTAGTTGCTCTTATTTAATCAACTGGAGATGGTGCTATAAGTTAAATTGTCACTTGTCTGTTTCCCCTACTAGAGGGTAGAGATTGCATGTTGTTCCTTGTTCTCTTGAGTACTTAGAAATGTAGATGACCCATTCAAAGTGTTTGACAGATAAAAATTTGTTTAATGATTTAATGACTGTTGAAAGGAAACACAGGAAGAGGAAATGGTACATGGAAGGAGAAGAGTAGCATTGTGGGTATGTTGCCTGTGAGATGTCTGTGGAACACACAGGTGGAAAATAGATACTGCCTATCTTGAATTCAAAAAAGAGATTTGGTCGAAAGTTGTAGACTTGAAAGTCATAAGGAGACAGTAAAAAGGAGGCAAAGGGTGGCCTGAGATTATTCTGGGAAAATGTGTAGAGGAAAGGAAAATTTTTTTAAAAAATGAAAACCACCCATTGACTAGAACTCCTGTTCCTCCAGAACGTTTATTTTTGACATCTCTCATTACTGTGTTCATATTTCACAGCTGTTGCATCTTTTGTGAGAGTGAAACTTAGCTTAATTTTTGTTTCAGGTGAAAGAACTCTTTTCTTCCTTGGGAGCTGAATGTTATGTCTTGGAACTTGATCAAGTTGGTAAGTAGACCAGTTACTATACAGTGTTATTTATGATAAATGCCAACAAGATTGACTTCTTTCCATTTACTTTGTTCAATTCAAATTATTCTTGTCTCCGGGTTAGATGAGGCATTTTTGTCTACATTCAGCCATGCAGAAAATGAACGCTTATGTGGCAGATAAGTTGGTGTAGGTTTTTTATTTATATATTTTCCATATTTGAGGGATGGGAGTAGGGGGAAGATATATAAGCTGCTCCCTTTGAAGTACTTGAGGCATTTCAGCTGTATCTGCCAGCTCTCTAGCAGAATAGATTAAGCTGTAGCAAATGAAAAGAATCCACTCCCATTTCCTGGCTGTGTCATCCACCAGGGAGAGGATATGAAGTTTTTAGCTTTATACTTTTGAATTCTTGGCATTCATATATCTAATGTTAGTTGAGCACTTTACACATAAGGAGTTTTTCAGGGGTGAGGGCATGGTGATGGACAGAAAAAGTTTGATTTCTGCCTTCATAGAACCTCAGTGACTCATTTTAACCAAGTTGCCTTAATGAATGAAATGCCCTTGAATCTTGGAGACTTTCTAAAGTGTATACCAATAAGGTAGTCTTAGTAGTCATGGACCAGTTTTATTTTTAGGGGTGGAAGAGAAATTTTGGACTATGATCATAAACATTTTAAAATGTAATTGTAAGAAGTATTTTCTGAGTTATTGTTACAGCAGATTTTATCTTGATATTTGCTCGTTAAAGAGGGCTCTTATCTGTTTGTCTTGGCATAGTCACTGAATAATATATCAAAATCTAATTTTGAAGGGTTTATCTTAAATGAATTAGTAGATCTTTATTTTTGAAGATTTTCTTGGCAAGCATGGATGTTTTCCCCTCGAGTTATTTCATAAAGTTATATAACACACTGACCTATTATGGTATGTACATGTGAACATTTGAATGTTGTAACACTTTAGTTAACTCACAAAGATTTGGAACTCATTTCAGTGTTTTTACATATAGTTTTTTCTTCTTTAGATGATGGGGCCAAGATTCAAGAAGTGCTGTTAGAAATCACTAATCAGAAAACCGTGCCCAATATTTTTGTGAATAAAGTGCATGTAGGTGGATGTGACCAAACTTTCCAGGTAATAATAGTATTGTATATTCTTCAGTGCTGTTTGTTCACGTTTTTAAAAAGCATCTAAAGAGGAGAAAATGGTTTTTGGCAGTCCACTCATCTTTTGGAAATTGTAAAATGAAGCATATAGGACAATTATCAGATAACATTGATTGCATTAAGGGAAATTAGCTTTTCCAGAAGCTAGGATTTTTGTGTGAGGACACCAGGAAAAACAGGTGGGCCACCCAGAGGACATCCCAGGTCTTTTTCTCCTGATGGAGAGAGAGAACATTTTACTCATTGCCCAGTAAAAAAGAGGTCAACTCTGACATTTTTGTCTGGGGCAGTTAGAATTCCTGTTAAGGCTGCTAACCCTAGGGTGCTTTGCAAAGGCCTATGGCTTTTGATTTTTTGATTCCTAGAATGCTATAAATGAACAGGAGTTGTTAGGTAAGCAGTGATAGATAAAAATTGATGTTAATTAAATAAGGTCCTTATATTATAATTAGTTATTTACTTTTATTAAAATTTTACTCTGTCATATCCTTTGTATATGTATACAATATAAGTAATCAGTGATTGATTAAAAAATTATATTTGAGGCTTTAATTAAGAATTATATTTTTGTGGGAATAAAGGTGGTCTACATTGTGTGTTAATCTATGATCAGCATCCTTATGCTGTAACAATCTGCTTTATTAATCCTAGAATCTATAACCCAGTTTACATAGTGGTAAGTCCTGTAATTATGGCCCCTGAACACCGCCAATCTTAACCTGGAAAATGATGTCCAAGAATGAATCTGTAGATACAGAGATAGGAGTTCTATTATTTTAAGATAGAGAGATATTTCTTGGATGGCAGATCCTGATGAGCTGGATTTCCCTAAGGGCACCTGAAAGTAAGGAGGCCAGAGGAGCCCTTTTTAGAATGTCCCCAAAACCTTTTTGGGCATGGGGACACATGCATCTGGTGAGTCTGCATAGTTATGAAGCATCTGTTGTGTGTCACAGGAAGGGCTAGTTTGATCATGGTGTTTGTCTAAACCCAAGATAATGGAAGCGAACAACTGACTTGGCATAAAGAAAACTGTTACTAAATCATAGATCGAACCTCTAACCTCACCTAAACTACTTCTGATCACAAGGAGGGACAAGTGAGCAAGAGGATACGCCCCAGGGCCAGCATCATGACTTGCTGAAAGGAAATGCGAGGTGTTGGTGTTGTATAGAAGGCTCACCAGTAGTTGAGCTACTTTTGTAGTTACAAAAGTTAGATTGATTTATGAAAAGCCATGACAAAATATGCTGATAATACATAAAAATTTTTTCAAAATGAAGACTAGCATAGATGAGCAAGGATCTTGAAAAATGATACTTGGTGTTCCACTGCACTTAACTATAACATTTTGATGATTAGACCAAGAAAATGTCCTCATCTTGCATAGCTCCAGAGCCACAACCTTCTAAGTTATTTGGCACATGCCTAGCTGTCAGGTGATAGGTCAGAAGGGACAAAAACGTACCAGGTATTGATCGACTTACGACCTATGCAACTTACGACCATTCGACTTTATAACCACAATCGCTAGCCACGACTGCTCCGCTGCAGATTTTTGGAAACACTACAACATTTTGATGTGTGTCAAGAATATCACTACCACCTGGGAGGCTGTGACGACAAAGTGCATGAATGGCATCTGGAAAAATTGTGTTAAGCGCTATGTTAATGATTTTGACGGATTTGACAGTGAACATGAACTTGAAACGATTCGGGAAAAAATAGTAAAACTCGCTAAAGACCTTTCTTTGGAGTGTGAAATGGAAGATGTCGAAGAGTTGCTAGACAAAGAATCCGGAGAACTTACAAATGAAGAGCTAATCGAACTGGAAGAAGAAAGAGTGGCGGAAGAAGAAAGAAGAGAAGCAGAGAAAGAAGAGGAGGAGCCAGAAAGAAAGTTCACCACTAAGGGACTATCAGACAGTTTATCTTTACTGAATAAACTTCTTATACATTTCGAAGCAATGGACCCAAACATCGAACGATTTGCAAGGATTGAACGGATGGTGCACGATGTGTTTCGTCCGTGAAATTTATGAAGAAAAAAAGAAACGCAATTCAGACAAAGCTCACCATGTTTATGAAAAAACCAACTCCGGTAACCCCAACTGCTGCTTCAGATGACGACATCAACGATCCTCAGCCAAGCACCAGCAGCCAATAAAATGTTTCGTACATGTTTATATATTTTGATATGTTTTGCAATTGGGAAAATGTTACCTGTGGTATTTTTTACACCTGTATTTTGTATTTTTGTATGCACTTGTATTTTTTAATTTTGTATGTTTTGCAAATATTAAACCAGTTGTACTGGTAATGCAGTGTTTTACTCAAACCTGATGAATGTAAAAATAAGAAACAAAATGGTGTAGAGATGATACAAATGGCATAAAATGAACAAAGAAAATTATGATATATAACAATAATGAAAGAAAATTATGATAAAATATGACTTAAAGATTTTTATAACATCATTTCACAGTACTGTACATATAGCCTACCCAACTTACAACCAAATCGTGTTACGACCAGTCTGTCGGAACCAATCGTGGTCTTAAGTCGAGCACTAGCTGTATACACTTTGGTATAACTTCTAACTAGTTAGACCTTATTTTTAAATAGCATCCAGATAAATTTACACTTCCAACTTAGATAAATTATAGATTGTTCCTAAGATTTTTATAAAAGAAATCCATACCAATTGAACATAGGGTACACATAAACAGCTGTAAAACTTTAAATTCTGCGGTGTTCTTTCTCCTATAATTAAACCATAGGCATATCAGAGTGGTTTGTTGCAGAAGCTCCTTCATGAGGATTCAGCATATGATTATGACCTGATCGTCATCGGTGGTGGTTCTGGTGGCCTTTCGTGTGCAAAGGTATGAACATAGAAATGAAATTCATAGATAATCTTCCTGGTGATTGCCATAGACATTTCTTCTATACTTAAAAAAGAAGAAACAACTAATGTTACAGTTTAAGCTTCTATTGTAATAGCTGGTGCAATTCAGGTAAAAGAGTGTGTGTCACACAAAAACAGTCTTTTAGAGAAGACAAAAATTGAGGGAGTGTCAGAAAAGTGACAAGATCTTTAGATGTAAATTTTGTTGTTGTTCATTTGTAGGAAGCTGCCATTTTGGGAAAGAAAGTTATGGTGCTAGACTTTGTTGTCCCGTCACCTCAGGGCACATCTTGGGGTAAGCTGTTTTTCTCTGTTGCTCCTCTATGCTCTTTACATATGTTGTTTGCTTTATGTAATCTCATTTAATCCTCACAACAATCTAAAGAGGTATAACTCACCTGTTTCTTGGATAACAAAACAGGCAAGGCTAGGCCAGACCCAGGGGCTCATGCCTGTAATCCCAGTACTTTGTGGGGCTCAGGAGTTCCAGACTAGCCTGGATAATATAGCGAGACCTTGTCTCTATTTAAAAAAATAAAAAATAAAAAAAATTTTTTTAAATGAACTGAGTCTTAGGTTATAGTTAACAAGTGGTGACGTTGGAAAGATAATGTAAACATAACTAAGGAAGATTTTGCAAAAAGAAAAAAAAATTCCGTGACCCCAGTATTTCAGCACTTCTGCCATAGTATTTTTTTGCATGCATGTCATGTAGTTAAGGTCACAGTGTATAAACTGTGTTGTGGTCACATAGGTTTGCAAGAAACACTTTTCTTTGTTTCTGTGTCAGTTTCACAATTGACTGTATTAGCAGCACACTTTTCTTTGTTTCTGTGTCAGTTTCACAATTGACTGTGTTAGCAGACTGTATTATAAGCACAGTAGCTGATGGAGTGAGTGTATGTAATCTTTACAGTTTAGCTTAACAAGGAGACCAATGACCAGCCCTATGACTCTGCTGTCTCATATAGACTAGAGTGCTCACCTTTCCATGTTGTTTTTCCACAGTGAAAAGAGCACATGGATTTTGTGCTGGATGTTTCCATTTATTCTTTAAATGCAGTCCCCCTCTGCATCTACCCTGCTCTATGCCCTACAAGACTTATCTGTTGGCAACTGTGCCCTCTGGCTTCTGTGATAGCTTGGCCACTTTGGGACTATGGGAAGAGGGCAGAGAGATAGTGGAGTTGGGATTTTACTCCCCTGGCTCCTTCCCTGCTGGGTCCCTGCATCTTCCTGTGGAAGATGCCATCCCCTCCATTAGATGGCCGGCTCCTGCTGGTTGGTGGCACTCAGTCTCCTTGCCCCTTCACATGGGGCTGCCAGTGGTCACCCTGTGTCACTAGTTTAGGGAACTATTCTATCCCTCTTTGCGCTTCCTGCTTACACCTTTGTGATAATTTCTCTGTTAATCCTTCAGTTACCCAACTTGAGTGTGTCTTCTCTTTTCTGCCAGAACCAGTCTGATAAATTATGAAAATCAATTTTTAAAATTCAAACTTACTCAGAAAGTTATAGCCTAGAATTTTACATACAATAGCTAACCTACCTTGATTTTTCTCATAATATTCTTGTGATGTGTGTACACTTGTTTTTTGTCCCTCACCCTGTCCTCCTCCCTCTTTTTCTCCTCCCCTTCTCCCTTTCTTATCCAGAAATCATCCTACTTATCTGGCATGCCAGAAGACACTGCAGTCAGAAAGAATCTGAGACTGCCCTGCAAAGGGGCATTCTGTTTTGCACGATCCATGTTGTGGTGTTTAGCACTCAGAGTAAATGTGTCCAGGCAGCTTGCAGTTGACAACATGGCTCAGAGGAGTCGGAGTTATGGAGAGTACAAGGCTGGGAGCTGAGTTTCTCACCCTTTCTCACCCTTGGTGTAGTACATATCTAGTTAATCTCAGATCTTTCTGATCACTGTGGATCAGACTCAAGTGAAAGTTTTAGGCTCTGTGCCCAGAAAACTTCTCACATGCATGTCTGTATTTTTAGGCGTCCTTGGGTCTCCACGGTTGTGAAACTATGGTCAGAAAATTTGGGGTAATCCCTTATGTCTTATTTTGGGGTGAGGTGTCGTCCCCCCACCACTGAGCTTGTAATTTCCACATGTTTTAATATAATATGTCTGCAGATGTGTGAAACTAGACAAACACAGAAGAAGCATTAAAACTTATTTTCTTTCTCAGGTCTTGGTGGCACTTGTGTAAATGTAGGTTGTGTTCCTAAGAAATTGATGCATCAGGCTGCCCTTTTGGGGCAGGCATTACATGACTCAAGGAAGTTTGGCTGGGAGTATAATCAACAAGGTGAGTAATGTATATAAAGTATAGATTGAGAGAAAAGAAAAAAATGAGTTTTTTAGATAAAGACTTGCTATTCATATTTTTATAGTTGAGTTCATAATTCATTTAATGAACATTCATTAGGAAGCCTCTGTGTCAGCCAGGCATAGAGGATGCAAAGAGGGTCCCGCTCTTATGGGCCTCACCACGTAGAGAGGGAATTGTCTCAGCTGCAGCAATTCCATACTCTTAGCAGAATGCAAAAGATTAAATAATTGCTATTTTCAAATTTCTTTCAAGTCTAAGGAAAATAGAATAGCAAGGGTTATTATTTGAATTTTATCTGTTACATTTTTTTCTCAGTGGTTATATATATCTTTGGTTAATGAAAGGTGGAAAAGAAATTCATCCAGTAAACATGTATTAGCCAGGCTCTGAGGATACAGATGTGAGGAAGCAGAGCTGCCTGTAAATAGCACGTAGTCTAGTGGGAGAGAGAGAGACAAGGAAATTCATTCAGTGCAGCCAAATTAGCTGTGCTGCTTAGAGTATTGGCTCCATGTAGCCTTGAGGGTGGTGGAGAAGTGCCAGGGAAAGCTCTTCAGACAAGGTGACCCTTGAGCTGCATCTGGAAGGTCACAGAGGAGTAGGACCTTTAACACAGGAAGCAGCTTGATGAACACTATGGAGATGTGAGGAAACATGATGTTTTGGGGGGTTAGGAGCAGCTGGAGTAAAGAGTAGATGAAGGGAGTTGAAGCAGGAGAGGAGGATGAGCCATGGGCTGTGATTCTGGGTCCTTCTGTCAAGCTAAGTAGCAAGCGGAGAGAAGCTCCCTAAAGAAAATGATGCTTATTTCTGAATTGGGCACTGCAGCTAGAATATGTGTGCCATAGTAAACCATGTGTGTGTTCAGGGATGTTAAGGAAGACAAGGGTTTCCTAAGCAAAAATGAGGATGATAGGATTGAAATGATTACCCTTGGCTACAAGGAGCAATAACTAGGGTGACTCAAGTCCAAGGTGGATAGGCAGTTGCTGGGCAGATGTCCTGGAAGATGTATTTTTATGTAAGGTTGTGATGGCCTTTGGGCAATTTTGTGGTTTTTGCAGTGTTTGTGATGTGATGATTATGTTATCAGGCATACAACCCAGAAAACCTTTTCTTCATGGCCTTCCCCAGCTCTGTTTGTCAGAGAGTTCTTTTTTTTTTTTTTTTTTTTTTTAAGCACAAGTTACTCCGTTTTGATTCCGACAACTTTTACACCTTTGATGGCACTGAAGAACTTAGAAAAGAGAGGATAGGATAGGGAAGGGGGGGGGGCAAGAAATGACAGAGGCCTGAGCAAAGACTGAAGTCAGGTTGGAGGGCAATTGAAGGTGTAGAATTGACCAGACGTTGGATGTAGACTTGGTAGTATATCAGAATGTCTTGTGGAGTTTAAGAAAAATTACAAACCACTTGTCTCTTTTTGCAGATATTTTGATCTGGTAGATGTGGGCAGTGAATGTGCACATTTAAAGGATCATATATGATCCTGGTTCTGACCATAGCCAGGTGATTATGACAGGCCGTCCAGGTCATGGTAGGAGATGGAGTGAGGGAGAGGAAAGAATACAGGAAGAGAGACTGGGGGAAATGGAATACCATTCATTGAGATAGAAAACACAGGCAGCTTTGATTTATTGGTAGGGAGGGGTTGAGTTCAGGATAATGGGTTGATGCTGGACACATTTCTTCAGTCAGCTCAATGGAGAGGTTTAGGTCAAGCTAGGATTAGCTGGGCATGGTGGTGCATGCCTATAGTCCCAACTGCTCAGGAGGCTGAGGCAGGAGGATTGCTAGGATCTGGGAGGTCGAGGCTGCAGTGAGCTGAGATTGTGCCACAGCACTCTAGCCTCAGCAACAGAGTGAGACCCTGTCTCTTAAAATATCTATGTGGGTGTGTGTGTATGTATAGGTATATATACATGTATTGTGTATGTGTATGTATATGTGGTGTGCTGATATATACACATATATATATTCACATGTATAATTGAAAATTTAACAAAAAATGAAAATAACTTGAAATAAATTCCACCAGGAATGTATGGGATATATAAGGAAAGAATATAAAGGTATAACAATAAATTTACTATGGTTTTAGATAGGGTGTCTCAATATTGTGAAGACATTATCTCAAAAATTATTTGAAAATTTTATATAAGTCTGGTAAGAGCTCCATGAGACATTTTTTTCTTTTTGGAGATTGGCTAATTATTTTAAAATTTGTATTGAAAAATACACATGTGAAAATAGCTAGGCAACGTTTGAGAAGGTATAGAGGGCGACCTTTCTCAGTACTTAAAAATGTTGTACTGTTGCAGGACTAAACATATCAGTGAAACAGTAGAGCAGGTGGTTTCAAGGTGCAAGTTCATAGATTTGGCATATCAGAAACTCCAGGAGGAGCCTTTTAGCTGTATAGGTTCCAGGGTCCCACTCCTGATTTTATAGTTTTTGGCAGGTCCTAGGATTTGTATAGGTCAACATGATTCCCATTATGACATATTTGAGAGCTTCTAATCTAGAATGCCTTTTGCAACAAGAACAAGAAACAAAAGGACACATGAACTGTGAATTGAACTGACAGGATTCTTAGGCTAAGTAGTTTAAGAGTTGGAAGAAAAGCTTTTCTGGGGGATGGGGAAGAAATATCTTTAGGATGTGAGGGTGTGTACCATTGTGGCAATGTGGTCTCTGCTGAGACAGGTTTGAGAATCATCATAACCTACATCACAGGGAGTGGGAGGATGGGGTAATGTGCTAACAAGAACGACTATTTCGGGTTGCAAAATTTTAGGAGACTGTGGTACACTGGCATCATAGAAAGGGTCATGTGTGTTGACATTGGCTAAGCCTCTCTGTGTACTGACTGTCTCCTCTACTCTTCCTATTTTATATTACAAAGAATGCGCAAAAAGCAAGAATTTTGAAAAGAAGAAAACTGGGGAAAAGTCCATGGAGGAGAGAATGGGGAAACTGACCCTCATATTGCAATGCCCACGTCGACATAAGGCAGGAGGCTCACTTCTCCTTGGCAGCATCTCCTAGAATCCTTTCCCACTCCATGGGACCTACCTTACTTTGTCCCTTGGATGGGAAGAAGGCCTCAAGTCAGTGAGCTTAGTACACTCTCCTCAACAGACTGACATGGTTCCATTCCCATTTGGTTCACAGCACAGTGGTTTCATGACAGTGAATATCTTACATGTCTTTACAACAAACACAGCTCATGTTCACCACTGCCAACCTTCAATATTATGGTGTTTACCCATTCCTTTGGAAGGTGGGGCAGGACTCGGCTGTTGGAATTCTGTGGCATCTCTGTATCTTCTAGGTGGGATTTACTGCATAGTGTTCATCTTACCTACAGATGCCAGATCCTGAAGGTCACCCTGTGTAGCT